TCAGAATTTTTCTGTATACCGCGGATCGGTCGCGATTTTTAACGAGCGTATTTAACAAACGCTCGTTTTTAAATATCGTGTTAACGCCTCTTCACGTTAACGATCAAGCTCGGCGATAGTTGGCGAATGTATTCTCTGAATTCCCGCGCATTTAGCGTTGAAAAATGCGATTTTTCTGGCTCGCGTAAATATATCTAGCAATTTTCCGCGTTCCAGATAAATAAAGTGCGGAACGTATTTCGAGTTAAATACGGAAGGAATATGGACTTTCCTTTTCCTGCGAACGCGAACGTTTGCCGCTCGCTCCAGCTGATCGTTCGAATCGCGCGGAGGATATATATCGTGGCATTAATAACGTTAAGATATAGTGGGCATATAAAAAGCGAGAGGGGCCGTGATATGTGTTTCGCGTAGGATAAGTTCGGTCTGCTGTAATCGCACCGTGCGAATCGTATCTTATACGACGTAAATATTTTTTATCGAACGCTCTTTTGAAGATTTTATTGAATTATATACTCCTCGCGAAAGAGCTCGAAAGTCGCTTGCGCGATCTTTCTCAATGGTTTATTGCGAGAAATATTATTGGATTTTTATTAATTTTTAAGATTGGGTCCCGCGTTATTGAAATTTAATACGTAATAGTAATATTTAATAATTTTCTTAGCTCTTTCATAGCTAAAGCGACCACGACATAACACGATGCGGTTGCAGCAGGGCAGAAATCATCTTCGCGCTGATATATATGCATATATATAAATGTATGTACATATAAAGAAATGTATAGACTTACGAAAAACAGAATGTGAGAGAAATGTAAGAGTGAACGAGAAAGACAGAAAAAAAATGCGAATAATAGATGAACAGAAGAGAGAACACTGTTGTCAAATGCATGCACAAGATAGATCATTGTCACGCGATATTTTGTTAATGACAGATGCGTTCAGAAGAGGAATAATTTGGAGGAGAAATTTTAATTCAAAAATATTGTGATATTGTAATAATTTCTAGTAGAAAAATTTGTTTAAAATTTGAGGAAATTTATTACCATTATCTTTATTAATAAAAGAACTATCGAGCGATAATCTTGTCAATGTAAATCTTTTAGCTTGATTCGTTAATGGATTTTTTTATATAAACATATTCTATATGTATATATAACAGTGATTGATTAGATAATAATTATCAATATTATTCAAAAGTCTATTTCCAATTTTAGAAAATAAGTTTTAGATAATGAAGAGAATATGTGTTTATGTCTGTCATTAACCGAATATAATCGGCGATAACGGGATATCCGGTGCTCGTGCATACGTACGTAGGCAACGATATTAATATTTATTAATTATTGACGCGCGTGACATCCTGTTGGGACGGTTGTCCACAGAGAAAAAGCTCCTTTGGGAAGTCGTTCGCGGCGGCGCGTTCCGACCCATCTCGTTGGAACAATTTATCAGTAGGCTCGTACTTTCATGCTCGTTTCTCGGTCACATGTATACATATACACTCACCCATAAAAAACACATACTTACACACACACACACACACATACACTATTATAATTACTCAAAAATAACTTGTACTATGTAACTATTACTATTTTTATGAATTTTTGTACATTTTTCTAATTATTTTGTATAATAATCGTTAGCGGAAAGAGAGAAAATGGCAGAGTCTGGTACCCACCTCCCCAAAAAAGTGTTCAAAGCGGAGAAAAGGAGCTACATCGACGACGAAAAGAAACGTAGAGAAAAATGATTAAAAAAAAGAGAAATTTCGGTGTGTGAGTGATACGAATGTTTACGCGAGTCGTGCGAACGTATGCGCGCGATCATCGTGTGCGCATGTATGTATGTGAAAAAGAGAGAGAGAGATAGAACGACGAGGAATGCGAAATAACAAAAAAGTATGCGAAGGGAAAAGAAAATAGCGTGCACGACATGTTTTGTGAAAATAGAAAAGAAGAAAAGGAGAGAGAAAGAAGAAAAAAAAGAGGGAAAGAAGCCGCGACTGTCGACAATGTAGTCCACCGTTTGTCTGTGTAATCTTGTCTTAATCTGTCTCCTTGTCTGTCTGTCGGTTTGCCTGTCTGTCTGTCCGTACTGTGTTTTACCAGGGGAGGAGAATTCGTTAAGATCTTAAAGACATAGCGTTACTTTTTCTCTGGATCTATGATGCGACGACGATGACGATAATGATTTTTATGTTTTGTATTAAAAGAAAAACGCGCGTGTGCGCGCGCGATGAAATTTCTTCGCAACAAACCTGCTAAAGGTATATATATATCGTAGAAAAAAAGGAGAGAAAGGGGAATAGAAAGAGAGCGATACCGACCGAAAGGAAAGAGAGAGAGTGAGAGGGTGCAAAAATAATATTGGGGAAATATTATTTAAAAAAAAAAGAACAGTTAAATGATGTTCAAAATGATAACGATGAAACAAAAGGAAAAGAGAAACGGTAGAGGCGAAGAGGATTTAATTCCGCGGCTCTCATAAGCAGACGTCGCGAAAAGTCGAAAAAAGATGTGTGGAAAAAAAAGATCTACTTCGTATTTGACGACGTGTTTGTTATAATTATAAGAGTCACCTTTTCTTTTTTTCTCGAAATGAAATGCTATAAAATAGATCAATTCTTTCATGGATACGGAGTCTCCTGTTGCTTTTGTCCGATCCGTTTTCATTCCACGAGAAGTATTAATTGACGAAGGGCTCGGAGCAAGGGTGGCGTAAAAAAATCTCGCTATTCGTAAGATTTGTTTCTGGTACGATTTAAAATAAATCGTGCGAATTATAGAATCTCTATTTGTTTATGATTATATCAGGTTTAGTTTATTGTTTCCTTTTAAGTTTAGTTGATTGTTGCTCCGAACCGCTCGAACGTACTTCTTGTCCTCGATTCCTCGATGAACGTTCCCGTAAAAATATAGTGCTTCGAATGCAAAGTCTCTGTGAATCAAAAGACACAATCGCGCGCGAGTTCATACTGTTAATATTCTACTCTTACTACTTGATATTTATGTGCAACTTTTTGAGTTTATTTGTTTCGATCCCTTTTAGTACTTTAATAAATGAGTTTGTTAAAAATAAGTTGATATTTTATTTATATTGCAATTTGCGCGTTTTCTTTTTCTTGTTTTTAGCAGTAATATTATATTGAATCGCTCTAGAAGTATTATGTTAAGATAGTATAGATAATACATTGCAAGATAATTGTGTTCCGATAGTTTCACATGTGTACGTTCGATATACAGCGATAAAGAATTAAAAGGTAAGTAATATATTAAATTATACAATTAATAAGAGAAAAAACAATTTCGGAATTTTCTTTAAATTGAGAGAGAAAGAAAGAAATTTAATTTATATTCAAATATATCGATCTATCTAAATATTGTAATAAAACGATAATTTCTAATTTTTATTTATCTGCCTAAATATTATATCTACCTACTATGACATTGTATATATACGGAGTATTAAATTATATAAGTATTTTCCAAAGTATAGTTAATATCTCGAAAAATAATTATTTCGCGTATGAAAATTTTCCTTTTATTAGATGTTTTCAAAATAAAAATAAATAAATAATAAATTATTCACCTCATGGTTATTCCGCCGTTACCAGTGATCACCACCGGTGATGATTGCAGCATCGAGTCTCTTTGTCGCTTCTTCGTGACACTCACTAGCAAAAATAATGAATTACAATTAATGTACTCGCCAAAACAATAAATTATTGTTACTCGCGCCCTAATCACATCCTAATCACATTCACAAATACGGTTATAATAAGCGCGCACTTTGCACGGCACTTCCGACTTTAATGGCAAACTACGCGCGCTTGATTATAGCCGGAAAATAACGGCGAGAAAGCGCGCCAAATTCATGGTATTGCACGGTTGCTCGCGATATCCCTATAGATTAACCTTGCATGCGCACGAATCATCGTAACAATCATCGATATAATCACATAAATGCCGTATTTATACGCCATGCGATCGAAAATTATTAAAATTTGATTTTAATACATGACAATTATATATTGTAAATATATATAATATATCATGAGACAATGATTTATAATAAATTCTTATCGCTATTTCTACCTACTTGAGTAAATGTAGCGCGTGAAATATTTTCTTCGACAGCCGTCATCGCGATATTTAATTGCTTAATCAAATTAAGTAATTGGGCAAAGTAATATATTCACTAATCAACACACACTTGTACATCATGATTGTGTTCAACGAGGTGTTTATTTTCATGATCGCGTCTCGAAAATTAATGCGACGTCGCGCCGCATCGTTGACTTAATAAAGATACTCTGCGATTAATTGCAAAGCAAATTTTCGATAAGAATAACATTATAGCCATAATGTAAATTCGATTATAAATGTATGTACAAGAATAGACTTGTCTCTAAATGTACAGATACTCATCGGAAGACGGATAGAATAAAAGTATATCCATAATGGCCGACTATCTGATCCGAAAAAGACGCTCGACTTTTTATTCTTATAATTCCCATCTAATATGCCATAAGACTATTAAATATTCTCACAATTTATTTGAAAAAACAATTCTATTGCGTATTATCATATCTATTTGGCTCGATTATCTCTTTGTCGGCTTACCTGTGCGGATATTATCGAAGCTCGCAATTTCTGCGTCTGTACCAAGTGCCGTTTACGCGGGAAAAGAGAAAGAAGCCGGACGTAACGTCTTGAAATTAGCGCCAGTATTCCTTGTTCTGATTGGTCAAGCTTTGCAGTAGTAATCGCGGATATACCGAGCTGTCTCATTGGTGGAACCGTCAATAAGAAATCTTTGCTCCTGATTGGTCAATTAAACGTTACTTTATACCACGGATAAGATTTTCGAACGCACTCTCTTATTGACACGTGAGACACGTGGGTAGAATAATTTTTATTCCTTTTGTCCTGATTGGTCAACACTATTTTACCCTACGGCCGTACGGGTCGTACGACTCGGAACAAACTTGTTAGTACGGTATCAGCCAGCATGTAATGATGTGGTTTTACGATATGTCCGTCATGATCTGGCATGAATTCACTGTCAGGAATAACAAAATGTCATTAGTCAATTACATTATTTGAGAAAGTTTTTCCGAGGAAGCTGGCAAAATTTTTTTAAATGCGGGATGGCTCATTTGAATAATATATTGAAAGCCGTGGAAACGTTAAATGCGCTACAAGAATCTGACATCTCGTCGGATTCCGGAGCAAGGTATATAAACAATAAACGTTCTCTGACAGAAATCTATCGATAATAAACGATAAGAATAAATTTCTATATTTGAATACAATAGGAAAGAGAAGATATCGTGTTGCACGACCATTGTTGAAGGGATATGCTCGCCAACTGTCAGACAGAATCCCAAGTTTCCACAAATTCTTACTGCTACCATTGAAACATTACTGGTATTGTGTAATGACAATGAATCGGATGTCAGGATGGTTGCGGATGAATCTCTTAATAAAATTATAAGGGTATAATTTATATTTTTTTTTATATTTTCATGACAGTGATTATATCTATTAAAAACTGTAATAAAATCAATATTCATGGCCAATGGCACATGGAAGTATAATATGTGATATTAATTCTTAAAAATAATTGATGTTATGCAATATATATTTATATATATTATTTATTTTATTTATCAGGCAATGGTTGACAGTAACATCGTTAAGATTCAGATAGAGCTTTACAATGAAATAAAAAGAAATGGACCTGCACGTATATTAAGGGCTGCTCTGTGGAGATTTGGCTTACTAAGTCACATGATACGTCCCTCCAGAGGTAAAGCTTACGTATCAAATCTAATACCGTGTGTAGTAATCATTGCGCATCGATCTGAAGATACTGTAATTGAAACATTATCGCAGTCGTTACCATTAATTTTCAAAGTGTTAGGACCTTTTATGACAGACAAGGACGTCAAGGTAAATATCTTCATACTGTTAGAATTATACTAAACTTACATAATAATGAGTTTTGAAAATATTAAATTTGTTTTAGAACTTGCTAAAAGCATTCTTTGAAAATATTTCCTCTCCTCAAGCAGCTTTTCGTAGGGCAGCGGCAAATATGATCTTGACAACATGTATAAATTGCAGAAAGCCACAGTTCTTTTTAAATTATGTATTAAATTATCTATTAGGTATAGTAAATACCTATATAAATTGTTATAAATATGCACACAAAAATATTCATTTATTGATTAATTTATTTATTAAACTGGTATTTTATTCCTATCACAGATATAATGATGTCAACGAGAAACGCTGAAGATTATCCATCTACTATTATAGGCGGGTTCGGCTGCCTAAGAGTGATCTTACCTTACATATGTAAACCTTTAGAGCCTCAAGATGTTGAAACGCAACAGATAGATAGTCTATTACATATTTATGAATTGTGTTTGCATTACACAAAATGGCATTCCGATCATAATGTTGTAAATGCAGCTTTAGAGACCTTGGCGCAACTTTTAAAAATGCCTCCAAAGCCATTGGTATCCGTTTTATTGTCCTCAAAAGGCATAACTCAAAGCAAGATAATATTGAATCAAAATGCGTGCGCTCCTTCACTGGGTCAAATAAGTATTTCTAGTGCGAGTACCGCTTACGGCGGAAATTCCGATTCCATCTTGATGCACGAACCTGATGTTCCAGAGATTACTCCAAATATAGAAAAGTGGATTGCAGATACAGAAACGATTTTACCAGCTACGGCTAATCCACAAACACAGAACGAATGTGGAGCGAGCGATGTGGTAGAGATGAAAGAAAAAATATCGGAAAGTTATTGCGGTCTGAAAATCGGAGCTATTAATAGTAAGAACAAATATATATAAACGTAACTCGCATAATAATTTTACAAATATTAGCATTCAATGTTTTTTAGATGACGAAGTTGTGGAAGAAGGTAGCGATATCGAAAGCGAAATTGAAAAATCCGAGAAAATACCGTATCCGAGCTTGCAAAGTGAACGATCGAAAGAGGAAGATTACTCCGAAGAGGCTACTCTGTCTTTTGCTTCCCCTAAGAAATCTTCTTTGGATTTCGCATTATACGAAGCAGATGTCGGAAGTTTTACAGACTCGGATATGCCTGTCAAGTTTTGTTGCCGTTACCTGGTGTCATCATTCTTGTTGGCAGGCAAACCTGGGCATTTAATATCGGACAAATTATTTCGTGTTAGCGTCAAATCTCTCGCTCTAACATGCGTGGGTTACATCTTGAAGCTTTACCCACATTTGTTTACAATGACTGTGGCCAAAGAGTCAAGCTGCAATGAGACGAATCAATTGATTGCAGACATTTTGCTATTTGCCAATCATTCAGATCCCCAGATCAGGGGCAATGTAGCAATGATGATTGGAATCTTTTTGAAATCCGTATTTGTCCAGTATGGCGGTTCCTTCGAGAACTTTGAAACGGAATGTTCAATTCAGAAAGGACATAAAAGTGTATTATTAGGAGACTTGATAAAGTTACTTTTAAATGTGAGTTTATATATGGCTTTCTTTTAGAAAGTGAGATATTCTCTTGAATTTTTAACTTACTTTTGTCCAATATATAGGGCTTGAATGATGATTCCGCAACAACTTGTCGTCAAACATTGGATGCGTTAAACCTCTGCTTATCAGAGTTACTAGATTCCATCAGCAATGAGCATGGTCTTGCAATCTTGACTATATTGCCGAAACTTGTAAAAAATCCATATTTTTTGGTTAAAGTAAAATTAGTTGACTTGTTGAGTAAATTGTCTTATATTACGATAGAACACATAACGGGGCAATCGTTATTCCAAGAACACTTTATCGATGTTATAATAGCGTTATTAGGCGACCAAGACCAAAGAGTGAGACACGCCGCATCGGATGCCATTGTTAAGTAAGACGTATTTACAAAGTTCTATCATATTTTATTAATCATATACATTTTTGAATCGATATTACTTTGCATTTTTTTCTTCAGGAGTATCCCTTGTTTGTATTTTCGACATCCTCAAGAAGATACTGTTACAAGAAAGGCTACGCAATATACTCAACAGTTTCTAAACACTATAACATCAAGCATCTCAGAATTATCGTCTTACCAAGAGAAACATAAACCATTTGTGAACACATCTGTCAAGCCCTTTGTATTTCTGAATCATTATAATGACGTAAATTATGAATCCAGTGTGGAATACTCTCTCTCTCATATAATTAACATTTTAACGGAAATATTGACGGTGCATTCCTCGAAATATCTCATTTACGGATGCTGCGAAACCCTCTTCCGCTTGAGCGAGACTTACCCAACGACGGTTTACGCGAGAGGATGGGATTGTATTCTAACGAAGACACTGCCGAAAAGATCTAAGAAGAGTAGTGATCGATCGGATACGAATGATATCAGTTTCGCGAACGAAATGATCTCGTCTCCGGTGAGCAACAGTCTCTTATCATTGACGTTGCCCTTATTAACGTCATCGACCATTAGCTTGGATTTGTCCACCCATCGACATCTGATCCTTCTCGCCGGCAATCTGGCCTCCGGATTGGCCGTCTGCAATTTTAAGATCGGCAGCGATTCGACGAAACTGTGGAATATGTGTAAGGACAGATACATGGAATTGTTATTAACGCACGTTACGAGAGTTCTCAATATCTTCGTCCACGTCGTTGATGAGGTACAATTGATACAGGCCAGCACCAAGCCCGTATTTTCGTCTTTATCATCCACGCAGACGTTGTCGCCCAAAAAGAAGATAGTGTCGGAGCAAAAGTCGAAAGAGAAGGGGGAGAAGATCAGTTTGAAAATCGGAAAAGAGCATATGGGAACGTTCATCGGCGTACCGCATTACATGAGAATATATGACATTCTGAAAGCGGCGCATTCCAATTATTTGGTCACTTTGCAGCACGAAGCCAGCGAAATGTACGTTTCTCTACTGAACGCGATATTGGACGTTCTCTCTCAGATCCTCGAAATCGCGTCCGTCAACGAAGCAGGTAAAATAGCGGAGGAAGTGTTGTGTTATCTGAAAACTACCGTTGTATTATCGCCAACGGCAACTGTTCGATGCGTGCAACAATTGTTGAAATGTTTATTTGGTACAAATGTGTGCGCACAATGGAGCGAGCTGGACGTGCAGAAGAGTACGGATCGGTGCGGTACGCTGCGAGATGACATCGGAGGTTTTTACAATCAGTGTTTTCAATATCCCGCCAGGCAAATGGCAAACACAATCAAATGCATCGGGAATAACTGCAGGGGTGAAAACGAGCCGGATACCGGGTAATTGTTATTCTGTTATCATACTTCAACTTTAACAATTGCAGTCACACAGGCTGATATATTATAATGTCTTCATTTTCACAGGTGGATAGGATTGTTACGCAGAAAAAGCGATCGAAAATTTTCGTCGGTTTTTAAGACTTTAGCGCGATCCTCGGATCAAAAGACGTCGGTGGCATCATTTATTCGGCTTTTCGAACCGATGGTTATCAAGTCTTTGAAACAATACACTGTTACGAGTAACATCGCGTTGCAATGCCAAGTTTTGATGTTGCTGAGTCAACTGGTTCAACTCAAGGTCAATTACTGTCTGCTAGATTCCGATAAGATATTCATCGGATTCGTGTTGAAGCAGTTTGAATTTATCGAAGAGGGTCACGTCCAACAGACCGAAGATCTTTTGCCGAGGATATTTAATTTCTTGGTACACTTATCTTACGAGAAGAATCATTCGAAAGCAATAATAGGTATACCGAAGATAATTCAGTTATGTGACGGCCTGATGGCAAGCGGACAACCGGCGATCACGCATTGTATACCTGCTCTCGCGCCCGTTATTGAGGATATATTCCTCATTCGCAACGGAAGTTCGAGCGTGATCGAGCAACGGGAATTGGAAACAACGAGAGACGTGTTAATAGCCATGCTGCTGCGTCTGGTAGAGTATCATGAAATAGTCGAGCTTTTGGCGTTGTGTCTAGCCGAGTCCAGATTCAGCGGTGATGGTAATGGCGAGGAGAAATGGCGAAGATGGTCCAGACTGACTATGGACACTGTGCTTCCGATATTGGCGGCCGGAAAACTCAAGATAGAATCCGAAAGGGCGCATGTCGCGCTGGTGAAGCTATTTGCAGCTGTCTCGCCCACGGTTTTCCGACCAGTGGATCCTCTCCTGAAGATACTGTTCACTGCGTCGATATCCATGACAGCTTCGAGTCTGAAACTGAAACGATGGCTGGGCATGATCAACATTGTGCTGCTCTCGTTGATTTCCTGCGCGAAGGAGGAAGCTATGCTAGCGCGTCTCTTGGATCTCAATGTAGATGTGACAGACGTGTCGCATCTGTTTTTGCCATACCAGTGCTCTGATTCCTCTTCCTCCTCCCACGAATGTTCCATGGATCCTTTGAATGTCTTGAGCATCCAATCGCGCCAAGTGCCACCTGAACATATATTTGCTAGATTCATATTCAAGGTAATCAACCTGATAAGCGCAAAGGTGTTTAATTTGCTCGGTCTGGTGAATCACAAGTCCACGGATCCTTTTGTCGGTTTCTCCGATTATACGGCGGACGACAATTATCTGGTGCATCAGTTTGCGTTCTTCCTGCAATTGTGCATTCACATGTTCGAGTCCGGCAGTCATTGTAAAGTGGCGAATGCGACAATGCAAATGATTCAAGGTCGCAACGTATCCGACGAGGAGAAATTGCTTGTCGACGACTTAAACTGCTTGATGCTCGGCATCGGGAGAGTGTGTCCAACGGTGACGTGCCAATGGGCTTATTTGATGATCCTGTTGGGGTACAACGAAATGTCCTTCTGGTCAAAAGTGTTGGGCAGCGAGAGTGCCGATTACATTGTCGCACACCCACGGCCAGGCGAGAAGAGAATTACATGCGATTACATTAACGGTGGTATAAATATTCAGATTGTCAGAAGAGGGGGAATCATATTATTCTGCGACTACATATGCGAGAATCTCAATGACGTGGAACCGCTGACATGGCTGTTGGTCAATCATATAAAAGAAGCCGTAGACATCGCCGTCGAGTCTCCGGTAAGAGATCTGCTAACCACGGCTATACACAGAAACCCGGCGGCCAGCGGACTGTTAGTGCAAGCGATAGCGACTAAATGTACGAATTTATCGCGACCCAGTTTCATAAAGCGTCTGCTACAGTGTATTGAGGGTGCGCATCATTCGCAGAGCGGCGCGGTTATATTGACCCTGATACCGAGACTCTTGTCCACCAAGTATCTCGCTTTATCGAGAATGGCGGCGAAAATCGCTAGCCGCAGAGTGGAGATACTGTTGACCACCGGCGCGGAGGACGCAATCGATCAGTTGTCGAAAGACGATCTCGTGAAGATTATGGATACTCTGCAGACCACCAAACTGGCCAGAAAACATGGCGGCTTGGTCAGCCTATTAAATAAGCTGGCCGTACAATATTACGATTTGTCGCCGTTGGAGCTCGACCAGTGCAGACCGTTTAATCCGTCCACCGTGAGGAGTATTCAGTTAGATCGGAATTGGTTCCTGTCGCAAGTGAGATTACGATGCTGCCACGCTAGTGCCGGCAACAATCCTATGGAATTAGCGCAGTTACTCAAGGACTTGGATTTCGACGATTGCTTGAGCGTTCTCTCTTGCAAAGAGTTCAATCTGAAAATTTTGAAACATTGTATAATATTGGGTGCCAGACTTAGCGTCGAGAAATGCCAAGAGTTAGAATTCGGACAAGCGCAATGCGAGAAGGATTTTCATTTTAACGCGAGTCCTTTGTACATCGCTGCCAAGCAGTGTTTACTGGAGCACATTCACTATATCTGCGAACTCGTACCGAGACCGCATCAAATTTACAATCCGGAGGCGGAAGGGAATAACAGCGGGAAGGAACTGAAATACGCTGCTAGATTTTCCGAACTGCTGAGCGATGCTCTGTATTGGGAGATCCTGTTCACGATAATCCCGATCGTCAATATTTACATGAAGACATTACCGAAACTGGCCAAGTACAATGTAGCGAAAATCGATGTGAGATTTGAGGAGGATATCGCCAAGTTCTCCATGTTGTGTCTCGAACTGGCACATTGGATGATTTATTCTGATAGGCGAAACGTTCGTAGATTGAAGCCGCATGATATGGATCTCGCGCTGAGTTGTGCAGCCGAGATCTTGAGACACGCTGCTCCGAATAAAATTTTTGGGGACAGCACACGTTACACCTGGGTCTGTTCCGCGGCGATTTCTTTGACTAGAGTCATGGAAAATGTATTGACGACCATGGATCCTTTACCGGTTGTGGATTCGCAGGCGTTAGAATCGGCTCTCCGAGACGACGACACGAAGGATTACGCTCGGGCATGCATCCAAATGGCATCGATAGTAGCTTGGCTTGAAAAGCGTCAGGTAGAAGGCTTCTCCACAAGGGATATTCCGCCGTACTTATTTAACACAATAAAATCGCTTGTCGTTAGCATAAGTCGGCAGCCGTTGGTGAACTCTTATATCCTGACACCTCCGTTGGTGTGGAAACGCGGCTCAGGTCATACTGTCGGCTCGGGTCCTACTAAGTGCTACTTTCCGCTGTTGTCGTCTGAGCCCAATCTTCTGCAAGAGGTGGATATTCTAGAGCAATTTATTTATCGGGTAAATTTACTGGGCTGGATCTCGAGGTCGCAATTCGAGGAGATTTGGATGGCGTTCTTAAGCGTTCTCAACTTTCCGCAGAACGAGAACACGTCCAAGGAGGACGTAGCGGCTTTGATTCAAGCGAGCGGCTTAGCGGTTCAAGCAATAACAAGATTGCTGTTACAGACGTTGTTGCTGCCGTGTCCTGGCAATCCCGACGCCAGCATTCTGATTCATCACCCGAGAGATCCGCAGCTCTCCGTTCACAAAGTCAGTTCTCAGAAACTGTATGCAATACAGGAGTTACTCTTATGGAAGTACGAGTACATGAATAACGCGGAAGGTAAAAACAGTTTGAGATTGGACCACATATTCCGCAGAGGAAACGTAGAGAGAACCGCAATGACATCCGACAGATTCACGTATAGCCAATTGTCAGTCTCCTACTTATGGTCATTGTGCAATTTATACGAAGACAAGTTGAACGCTTCCGTTCTCGACTTGAAGAACAGGAGAAACGACGCACTGATGTCCGCGTCGCTTGATCTAGATTCGTGCCTGCGTTTCCTGATTGAGCACTACACCATCTGGATGTCACCGCAGGCCAAGACACCGGTACAATTGTTGACGGAGATCGTCAAATCTATTCTGGCAATCTCGGAACTTTTTTTGGAGAGATCGCAGTATCAATGGATGTTGGATGTCTGTCTGGAAATCTCAAGGATACATCCGACAGAGAACGCGATTCTACATCAATATCTGGCTATTTCTACATGTAAAGCCGCTGCAGTTTTAACGCCATTGGTGGGGCTTTATTCAAGAATTTTATCCATATAATGAAGATATAAAGATCGTTTTTAACTAATATATTATCTCCTCTATTATCTCTCTAGGATTTGGATACCTTGGATAAGGTGAGACGCATAGTGGATATTAATTTAAAGTCTGGATTCCTGGCCTCCAGAATTTCCGCACTTCACGGCTCTCTGTATCTGCTACAAAGCGCAGTACTGACTAAGTGCGAGGAAACGATGAATATTATACATCCTCTAGCCATCGAATATATACAGAAGCACATTGACTCACAAGATTCAAATAGGTAATTTCATGAAATCCAATTTAATTTTTATCGTAAGAGGATATGGAAGATATTTGTTCATATATTTAATATAATCTTTTTCTTTTGTCTTGTAAGTCATTGTTGTGCTTCATGTACAGCATTTCAAGTCAAAGCGAGGAGCATCAGGGAATAATGTGGGCTTTGGTGTTTTTCTTACTGGAACATGCAGAGGATACGCCGCCGGACGCGGAAGCACCGGCCGTGTTGGAATTAGTCCTTTCTCTAGTCACGTCTCAGAATCTCTCTTATGGTTTACATCAAATGCTGCTGCAGGTACGTTACTTATGGCGCCTCGATGAAACGTTTACACAATACACTGCCTATTCGTCTCGACAGGGTCTCGAGAGACTCGTGGCAACGAAGAGCGTAGTTGGCAAGGTTGCCGAACAAATTGTCAAGATCGCGATAGACCGGCTGAAGCAACCGAGCCCATTGCTGGCGCTACCGGCACTGCAGCTTCTACTGACATGTATGTATACGGAGGCAGCCGATCGATTGAATCGCCCCGATGCCGAAGAACCGTTGCCGGACGTGGAGCCAGAGGCACTGGTCCGATCCATAGAGCGTATATCCGCGATATTCGACAAGATCCGCAAAGGTCATCCCATGGAAGTGGAGGTGCTGTGCACGGTTCTGTCGAGCGTTCTCGGTGACTTCTTCCCGCCGTCGGAGATCCTGACAAAGGTCATAGGGGAATTTCTGTCTCCGCAACAACCGCATCCGAGATTACTTTCTGCCGTTGTCTTTAAAGTTTGTAAATCGCAATCAAATGATATGTATATATACGATCGAACAACGAAATAAGAAATGAATATGAATTCTTCGATCTAATTTTGTGATCCAGGTCTGCGAGAAAGCGTGTACCTGCACGGAAATGGAGCTCCTTCAAGACTGGGTGGTTTTCAGTTTACCAAATTTCATTCAAAGCTTGCCAATGGCGATGTCGACTTGGTGTTTGTCCTGTTTCTTTATAAGCGCATCGACGAATCATTGGTTGAGAGCTTTGTATCCTTTTACAGTTAACGTAACTATAAATTTTTACAAAATTGAGAGAAAGAGAGGAAAAGAAATTTTGTACTTTCATAAAATTGTTGTAAAGTAGAAATAACGTGTTTCCTTAGCTGTAATATGGCAGGTTTCCGTACGTTCAATCGAGAATAGGAAAGTATGAGTATGAAGATAAGAAGATGTTGTGTATAGCTGCTTCAGACTTTTATCACAAGGTATAGATAATTATTTCTTAATTTATACGCATATACACTTATGTTTATCATCTATTTTATTTATCGCATCAATTGATTTCAGCTATCTAAGGAGTCGCAGAAAAAAGCGTTTGTCGAGACTTTTGAAGCAGCTGCTAAGGAACCTGGGACCCCCTTCAGTGATATTCTAGCATCTTTTTAATTGATATTAATCATATAATGTTGTGAGAAAAATGTTCAAGAAAATATCAAATCCAAACTGTAAAAAATTGATGTATGCGATTACTTGTGCGATGTGTACGTGTATATACGCACGCACGTGTACATTTGTATGTATGATACGATATTTATTTTGCATTATGCCCCGTCGAAAGAGATATGCAACTTGTTTTACAATAAACAGTATTTTTTAAGGAAATCTATCATGCCAATTATATATATATATATACATATGTATGAAAGAATTTTAATTATTTATTGATAAAGTACAAAGCACGCGGAGCGTGATATATAACGTGATGTAGTGTATCTTATTCGTTGCAAACAAAAATATATATATAGTTTTGCGACACTGAATTTCTTCGAATTTGCGTTAAATTTTGCAATAAACTCGAATCGAAACATGTTCGCATCGATTGAACGTGTCAAACTTGTATGTATATAATCTTTTGTATCATTTAACTATACTTTTTCATATTTCTTCGCGTTTCCGTTTCTAAACCTCGCAAAGATCTTGCTGATTAATCGGATAAAATTCGGCATGATTTCTTCACAAGACACAAATGATGTATCGGTAACGGTATCATGAATCCAGTAAGATTCTCTTCGACGGAATTTCGATGTTATCGGAATTATTACATGCAAAGAGATTTTGTGAACCGGGTCAGTCTCAAGAGTAGCGATTATTAACGGAAGGAATATAACGGATATGGTAAGTTTATGTGTTACATTTGAGAGGATTGAACTGCTTCCCGGCTTACCTATGCTATGAATTATTTCAGGAAACTATGGAGTTGTACAAAAGACTGCCCGCGAACGGATACAAAGAGCTTGCTGGGTATCATCGCGGTGACTTTTGCTCCAATTGCGGACAAAACGAGTACGAGGACGCGTTGCGCAGCATCGCGACACGAAAGAGGAGAACGAGGAGATACGAAAAGCACTGCCCCTCGTGCCACTGTCCGCCCGAGAGACGAAGATCTCCATCCAGTGGACCAAGGTAAAAATGCCTAATTTTACACGAATATAGCGATCAATAATGAAAAAAATAATTAAGTTGTAATTGTTCTCTTCGATCTTGTAGGACTTTGGAAAATGTTGAGGCTACGCTAAATCGATACGAGCGCGTCTTTGCAGAACCGATCAGCTCGACTATCAAGAAGTCGCAGAGCAGTCCTCTGTCGCAGAAAGTATACTGGCATGATTGCCAGACTGGTGCGCATTCTCGTTGTCCTAGAAGATCGCTGCAGCAAGCTCGTCGTCAGCGGAGAACCGAACACGATAGATATTTATGTAGGATGAAGGGAGACACGATGAACTCAGAACTGATTAACAACGATATCGAAGCTTGCTCCAAGTACGCGCAATCGGTACCAATCAAGAGCTCGTTGAAGAGGCATAATCACTGCAGAGAGCATGAAGTAATGTTTGCGCTTCTTGAGATATCAACACAATTTTTTATTTCGCAAATTTTAAAGAATTATAGTTTATTCTGTAAAATTCAATCATCGTAATGGTTTTTTTAATTTATCCGATCGCTATTGTCTTTTAGGGATCGCCGGACGAGCAAGAATATTCCGATGCTGAGAGCGAGGTATCGACGAAGTACGCTCCGTGCATTCGCCAATCGAAAAAGAGAGAAGAGAAGGAATCGCACATAATAAATCCACATCTCGGATCGAAACGTTACCAAGGTGTAGGCGGGGACGGTGAATATATCACGGAGATGAGGAACATCGAGAGCGACATCGACTGCCGGCGAAACGCACGCGAATATCAGGAAACGCGAAAGCTTGTTCTAGAACTGGAGAGGCTGAAGATGAGGGGCGACGGCGAAGCAACAGCGGTGACGAGGGTAAACGAGGACGATAAGAAGCTCGACAGACGGAGGCACGATGTCGTCGCGAGAATGACGAAACAGAAGAGATCCGGCGACGCTGCTGCAACGAGCGAACAATCCGCGCTGATTAAGGAGTCAATTGATGGATCCGCGAAGAAACTTAACGAACCTACGCATTTAGCGAAGTTGGATCTCCATGCCACCAAGACTCGCATTTTGGAATCGATCGATCATATGCTCGGTACCATGGATGACGTAAAAGTATAAATATTTAATATTTATATTATATATTAAATAGTTATATAACTAAATACGCTTTAATTCTCATGTACCAATTATAATATACAAGTATTTATACCTTTCGATGATCTATATATCTGAAACAAAGTATCTCTTTATTATATCTCTTGCAAAAAAGACATTTATAACAACCGAGTTATTATATTTTATTTATTTATTTATTTTATCAGCATAATAGATATTGTCCGTTCTGTCTAGAGAGAGAATGATGCACCAATACAACAAGAAGAAACAGAACAAGAGACCATCGAGAAGATAACTCGTGAACTCCAGGAAAACGGCTGGCAGTTATTGTTCAACGCTTTGACGATACATAGGAATTCGACAGATTCCGGTAAAAGAACCGTTCGTCTGGAATGTCTGAATCATATTCGGCAACAACTCGACAAACTCTATGCCCTCGAATCGACTTTGGACAATTGCCCGCTTAAATTACAATCCCTATCGAACAACGATATATTATGGAACGAAGAACATCAACAGACGCAATTGGAGCACAAAATTGCGGATTCTTGAGTTTACCCAAATGCTTGGTTTGCGTTTTCTCTTTTGTGAAATCTGTCAAAGAACTGTGATAAATTTCAGATCCATGCGTAGATTTCGCAAAAATATATATACGTATACGTTCGTAAGTATCGTGAATATTTGCGAAATACAGTTATAGCATAAAATAATTGCAAACGCAAGTATCATCATGCGTTAAAAATACAGATTGTTAAAGTATACATTATTGAAATGTCTGCACGTGTTGTGCGAATCAATATTTTTAAGATAAACATATATAAAATTTTATAGAATATAAATATTAATGGAATTTGTAAAAAAAATCTGATGTTATTACTTGCTCGCAAATTCTAGAGCTAGATTAAAGTTGTTCAGTTAGTTGGCCGTTTATCTTTTAGGCCAAGATTTAATTGATAGCAATAGCTTTATTTTGAAACGTTTTAAGTATACATCAGAGTACATAACTACTCTATTTTCTTTCCGCTGTCAAGCTAAACAAGGTACGTGTAATATTAAATTGTTTCCATTCGGTAGATAGTTCTCTTTGCGATGAGAGGTGCGCATGAATTCATTATATATATATATATATGTGTGTGTGTGTGTGTATTTTAGGCTCTTCTTGCAATTACTACGCATGTATACTCTCAATATATATGCATACATATATATATATATATATATATATACGCGCATTCACAAGCCCACCATTCTCGCCCGTAGACATTGACGGCGGCCACAATGCGGAGACTAATCGAGTCCCGCGTCGAATATACATGCACGCGAGCGAGCGATCCGGTGTGCGCGCATATCGATTAGTATCGATATATGCCCGGCCCGGGGTCTCCACCGGTCGGTCCATCGGCCTGGGGAGAAGGGACCGACCCCATTGTCCGCTTGACGAACATTGTGCTCCTGCCTTGGAGCCGAGCGGCTTCTCTCTTCTCGTTTCTCTCGTTTTACTTATTCGCTTGTGTTTCTGTCATTTTCTCTTTTCGAACGTCGCCCGATCGAACGGGCCCCGGGAGAAGGGAAAGGAGAGAGAGAAAGGGGGGAGGGGGGGAACGGTGACACGGGGAATTTCGGGACGAGCTAATCTCGTGACTAAGTGGCTGCTCCGAGTTTCGCTCGCTGCGCGGCGATCGACGCGATGAGTTTGGTAAGTCATTCGGCAAGTGAGACGGAAATATATATATATAATATTTATATGTATATGGGATATTAGTAGAACAATTATTTACATAACGTTGTAATAAGCTATGACTAGATATATATTGACGCGTTAGGATATAATTCTGGAAACTTGAATATATAACGATGGGAAAAGACATAAGTCGGAGAGATCCCGGTAATACCCGTATGCTTTTTGCTTTGTGTACGATGGTACAGTTCGTGAAAAAACGACAAGTAAAAATATCGAGACACTAAAAAGCTCCACTTAAGAATAAAGTAAAATACATTTATAAGAATGTAAATTAACATATACAGCTATCACACTTCTCGGCGGCAGCCAATATCGTTATTATTCGTTGTACGTCCACTTTCTTTAGACTATTATATAATTAGTTTTATTTATATAAGAGAGAGTGTATGTGTGTCGCATATCCGTTTATATTACGATATTTTTGCAAAGCTGCCGTTTGTACAGACGACCCGACAATCCGCGAAAAAGATGAAATCAAGATGCAAGAAACGAGACAAATGATGAAAATTTCGAAACGAATTATTACGGGGCTCCCTCCACGCGATCATTACAGGTACACACGAACGTATTCGACGAAGACTGGGAATAATACTGCAAGTAGAGGAGACGGCTGTATAAACTTAATTATAATCAGGTAATATCTTGGTAATATAATCTAAGTACACAATGTGATATAAAATCTATACGCTTATACCAGTAGATCTCTCAAAAACAAGATTACACGTCTCATCTCCGCCTTGTTCCA